ACTTTGCATCTAGTACAATAGATTGCTTGTCTCTATTTTGTTTAGTTCTTTTTCTGGAATTTTGGGACATGTTTCTTTGTCTCCTCACTTGGGCAGCCTCTCTGTATTTGTTTCTATGTAGTAGGTAGAGCTGCTGCGTACCCTGGGCTTGATAGAGTGGCCTTCTGTAGTAAGTGTCTTGTAGGGTCCGTGGCACAGCTTCCCAATCATCAAAGCTTACATTCCAGGCATACCCCCTATGCCTGCACCACTACCTATTGTAATTGAGCTTTAATTGCTGTTGGCACAGCAATGGGAAGAATTTACCCCCAGGCTATCAATTGCAAGGACTGGCTGCAACCACTATGGTGGAGGATCAGCTGTGCAGGATTTTTCAGTAGATCTCTGGTACCTTCTGAGTCCTCCCCTTGAATATGTGGCTTGTGGAGGTGGTTGGGTGGTGCTTTGACATGGTCTCAAGGTGTCCTCCAGCTGTGCTAGCATTGAGGCCTCCTAGGAAGTACAGGCCAAGGTTAGCTGCTGCCTGTGTTCTGCTTAGGGCCACCCAGCATTACTTACAAAGCAATCTGCAGATGCCTGCTATTTGTTCTGGGCTTGGAGGTGCTCAGGAGAGGCCAAGCTTTAAATCAAGGGTAGCTGCCACTAATGCTGGGCCTGTGGCCACTTAGCAAGAGGTTAGTCTCATGCCAAGGATATGTGCTTCTTGTTTGAGAGATTGAGGAAAGTCTGAAGCATGAGTCAAGAGAAGCTATTTGTATGGAAAAGCCACTGGAAACAGATTGGGTGGACCCCAAGTTGGGTGGGATAGGGAATCACCAGGGAAGGGTGTACAATGATAGGTAAGTTGATGGAGACTCAGATATGTCACCCACCTTCCAGCTCTTGGGGGAAGAGCTCAGAAAAAAGAAACCCAATGGTCTCTGTCAGCACTTCTTTTTGGAAAGAAGCTGCTTCCCTCATCAGCTCTTCCCCTGATACGAGACAATTCAGTCCTTCCCTGTATGTCTCTGATGCCTTTTGAGCTACTGTCCCAGTACTGGAGCTCAGAGCAAGTGAGTCCAAGTATCGGCCCTTTAAGAGGGACATCTGGGATTCTAGCAGCCCTCCTTCTCACTCAGCCACAATCCTTGCTGGTTTTTACAGCCAGAAGTTATGCTGACTTTTCTTTCTTGCACTGGAATTCTGGGCTGGGGACCCCTTACTCCTCAGGAGGAATGCACACAGCTATTTCCCTCCGATTTTTCTCTGCCACATGTGGGTATAGGATCAGCCTGTTCCATGTCTCTGCCACATGTGGCTGTAAGATGAGCTTGTTCTGCATCTTTGCCCCTTTTACCAGTCTTGATGTGGCTTCTTCTTTTTATCCCTAGGTGTAGGACTTCTGATCAGCTAGATTTTGGGTGGTTCTGAATGATGGTTGTTCTGTAGTTTAGTTGTAATTTTGATGTGGCTGTGGGAAGATTCCACTATGGCATTTACCTGTGGTGCCATTTGATCAGAAGCACCCTTTAGGGTTACTTTAGCACAACTACTAAGGTGTGAATTTTCTGGGGTCATTCATCAAAGTGATCAGAGCAGATTTTCCACAATGGTTGATCAGGCCTTGAATGTCTGTCTGCTCTGTATAATATCTAGGAATTTTCAGTGTACAACTCCTCAGTAGTTCTTTGCCTAATTTCATGGAGTTTAACCTGAAGTGTATATACAGCTTAATAGCTCATTAATAGATACAAAAATCACGAGGTTTTTTTGAGTTTTTTTTTTCCTATGTCGCTCCCTCTTGTCTGGTACACTGCTCCACAAATTTCAGCTATTGTTCTTAGTCTCTTTGCTCCAAACTATGTCTTCTAAACTCAGTGTGATCATCAAGTTCTACTTAAGGGTCTTCTTCTATGCAGCTAGTCTGAAATGTATCAAGGTTGGACATTCATAGAGATTACAATTTTATTCTCTTTTCTCATGAATCACAGTCCAACTCTGCCTTTGTCCACCATCTGAAACAGTTGTTCAGTTTTATAATTGTCTGTAGTGAGAAGATATACTGAGATCCTGCTTTTAACTGTGGCCAGGAACATGATGCTATGACCCCTTTTTATAGATAAGTAAACTGAGATTAGAAAGACTAAGTAGTATAGTGATGAACAAAAGGGTCTTGGGATTTAGGTTGGAATTCAAATTTTTACTCTTTATTAGTTTTACAACCTTGGGTAACTTATTTGGCTTTTTGTATTGGTTTTCTATCTTTAAAATGGATATGCTTATGATGGTGAAAGTGATTGTAATGACAACAGCAATAAAAATAATAAAGTAATCTTGGAAATTATCTCTTACCATTATTTCAATGATTAACCAAGATCATGAATGTGAGGTTTTAGCACAGTTCTTCGCACATATTGAGTCTTGGATATGGTGTTAGCTAACTAACATATTTCCCATTATTGCTTTTGGTAGAATTCTGACTCCAAGTTCAGGAATGCAATATTGCTGGACAATAGAGATGTTTTCCCATTATTTATCAAAACTGGGTTTCCTTTAAAATGCATCCAGAGCAGGAAATAAGTATGTTCAGGCCTATAGGACAAAACCACTTAAAGCAATGGCAAAACATACTCATTTAATGGAACATGAGAAGTCTTGCTTGTGTTTGTGGGGAAATTTCTAAGGAGGGACCTCTGGATAATCCATCACAAATTCCTAGTTCAGGGTACCTATAATTTATTTAATCACAATGATGGATATCTTTAATATTAGGCAAAAATTAACAGTTTCGCAGTCTTCAGACTATCATTACTCAAATCACAACTTTTAAAGGACATACTCAGTTTTCTTTTTAGGACCTCATAAAAACTCATTCAAGATCATAAATAGAGCTCAACTGAGAAAAATCAGAGAAAGCTAGTAGGTTCATTGTTGGAGGTTTTCTGATGTCCTGAGTTGATCCTCATGAACTTAAGCATGGAAGGTAGACAAGAAATAAGACACAGATTTGTCAGAAATGTAATGGCATATTTCAGCTCAGCAAGAGGAATTTAGAAGTCTTTCTCTGCTTGCGGTCATAGCCAATGTGTCAGTCAACAATATCCCCTTACTCTCAGGTAAATAGTGCCAGTTAATTAGCTCTTGTTTATGTTTTGATTATTGATGGACTTAAATTATATTCATACTGTCATTCAGAACAAACACATAGAAAAGTTTGTTTTTGATCTAAATAGTCATTCCTTTTCTGTAGTGACATTTGAACTGTATATCAGAATAAAAAGCTTGTAACAAGTGAAGCATAAAAAGTAGACAATTTAAATCAGATAATTAAAAAAATCTGATGAGTGATAATATTGGCTTGATAACAAAATTTCCTATTTCAATAGAAGTTTAAGCTGATTTATAACAATGCTGACATTGCCTCTCAGATTGATGGTACAAAATGTCATTGAATATATCTGTGCAAATTCCTCAATCCTCTTTCACTTTTAAAAAGAGATTTTACTTATTTATTTTTAGAGCGAAGGGAAGGAAAGGAGAAAGAGAGAACTATCAATGCGCCCCCTATCATGAGACCCCTACTGGGGACCTGGCCTGCAACCCAACATGTGCCCTGACCTGGGAATCTAACTGGCGACCATTTGGTTCACAGGCCGGAACTCAGCCTTTTGTCTCAGCCACTGAGCCACACCAGCCACAGTATCACTTTTATTTTTTAAAGATTTATTGCTGTAGCTCTTAATCTAAGGCATATCCTTTATATACAATTTTTGAACCAGAATGAATTTTATTCTTTCATGGTCATTAAAAAGCTTTCCTTTTCACCAATCATTGCAAATTCTTCTAACAGTTCTTATGAAAGTCAAGAAAATGTTTTTTCTAGACACCAGAATAACATATCACTTACAGTAATTTATGTTGCAGAAGAGTTTGTTTCTGTGCAGTACATTCTGTTTAACAAGGCTTCCACTGAGAAGCTCAGTAAAGCATTCTAGGGGTACTAGAATAATTTCCTTCTGAAGACAAATGGCCCATGGTTGGCATGCTCCAGCTTGTGAGTTAGAGTAAAGTATGGACAAAGCATCTCTCATGGGAAAGTGTATGTGTTGAAGATTCTTGACCTTTTCTCTACCCTCTTACTTTCTTTTCTCCCTCCAATTCCCTATCTTTCTTTCAAAAGGAACAGAAAGAGACACCAGTCAGAAATATAGATATGCTTTCTTGGAGTCTTGGTGTCTTGGCATCCAGACATCAGGAAGCTAAAAGCAAGATGATTATTTATATAATCCTTAAAGCTGAAAATTTTCAAATACATTGCAACAAAAGAAATTTAAAAGGAAGTTTTATATACAGCATTCTGATTCCACTACACTGCCCACACATCACTAAGATGATTTAGCATTGAAATAAGTTTAGTTAATCATAAAAGTTAAACAGCTGCCACTGGCAGCTTATTAGTTTCAAAAGTTTCTGCAGAACTTCAACCAACATGACATTTTGATTGCATATGTCCAAGGAGTGGTAAAGGTTGATCAGTCAGCTTTCCACAGATGAATGTGCTCTGGATTGAATGGCGGCTATAATTATATATATTTTAGGAAAGGGATACACTGAAAAAAATCACAATTTTGTATTTATGAAGTGTTAATTTTTACAAACTGGAGATTTAACAATGATTGCTAGAACAAATAATTACATTTTTAAAAAAAGTAAAAAAAATGCACAAATAGTATTAACTAAAAAGATTAAGAAAAACTCTCAGTCCTGTTTATCTTCTTACTGAATGCAGTATGGAGTGTCATAAATGCCCTAATATCCTTGTTACACAGCATGAATTACAAATAGAAAGACCAAAGAAATGGTATGACTTACCTCTAACAGGGTCTGATACATGAATCATTTGTCCCTTTCTTATTACAGATGCCTTTCATTATAGAGTTCTCATAATCTAATAACCCATCCAAAAATATTCATAATTATGGAAGGCAATACCATTGCATTTTCACAGTCATATTATGATATTTTAGTGTGTTGAATACAGTAATTATTTATTACAAGTAACACATGAAAATACAAATAAAATATCTTTATGTACAAAGTGACCCATCATGATTTCTATCTAATATTTAATAATACACTTGCAGATTTTCCCTGTATTAACATAGTGGAAAACAATAAATACAAACATTAGGTAATAGAAGAACACCAAAAAAGTAGGAAAGTCCCTATGGATACAAACTGTCAGCTCTGGAAACTATAAACTCAAGGAAAGTTCATAACATCAGTGAACCCACACACCCAGGGCTCTCAGGTTAACTGCTCACAAACACCTTTCCTAAAATTTGTTCTCCAGAGAACGTTCTTATAAAATGTACAAATATACTCTTTCCTGTCTCAAAGGACAGGGGATACCCAGGATTTTTTTTTATTCTGTCAGGTTATTGCATGTCATCTGGATGTTGCTTTGTTGGGACAGGTGATTGGTGTAGACTAGTGAGCAGGACTGGAAGTTAGAATCAATTCCACAGAGCTGTCTCTCTTTCTACTCCTGGAGCATAGAAGCTGAAGATTAAGCCTGTAGAGGAAAAACAGTTCAGATTTCAAGAAAATGAAGAAGTGGAGATGTTGGGGCAGATCACGTTAGTGAATAGCTGAGTTTTTTCCACCCAGTAGAGTCACCTGAATTTCTCACAGCACTTCAAACACAACACGTCTGAAAGGAAAATCGCTATACTGCTTCCCAAACCTGTCCCATCTTGCTCCACATTCCCCTCTGTGCCGGTACAATCATGATCCATCCAGACACTCATGCTAGAAGTGTGGACATCATCTATAGTTCTAATTCTCCTCTTTTCCCACTGCCCACATTCAGTCAGTCACCAACTCTGGAGAATTTTAGTTGCTAGACATTTCTCTATTCCATTCTCTCCATCTCCATCTCTGCTGTCCCTGCAGATGTGGTAAAGCCCTTGTTTTTTTTTTCCTAGAAAATATTGCATTAATCTTCTGACTTCTGTGCTTACAGTCTCATTCCTTTTTAATTAATCTTCCACAGTAAACATTTGTGATGTGTCTCAAGCACAAATCTCATCACATTTCTCTCCTGATTAAAGCCCTTATCTGTGCCCTACCCCCAATGGGACACAATTCAAGGTCTGTTGCTTTGGATGACAATGTAATTAAGAAATTTATTGGCCACTTCCATTTTTCTCCTAATAAGTAGGGAGAAGAATGAACAGGAAACTCTCCACTTCTCCTTCACAGAAAACTGGAGGGAGAGCCAGACCTTAGGTTGATTACTTTTTTTTAAAAAGCTGGGCAGAAACAACTTTCTCTGTTCCAAAGAGCATCAGGAGATGGAAGCTTCTGTTCCTCAAGTGGGAAAGTGGTGGTGGCCTGCCCTGGCAGGGTTAGATGTTGTCTGCTACTGTTTTAGTGCTAGGGTTTTGCTAGAGCCTGGGAGGAGGATGGTATGGTGGTCATGGGGGTGGGCAGTGGTGCTGGGGTGGAAACCTGCATCCTACTATTTCACAGCATGGTTGGCAGAGTCAGGGTCTTTGGAAGAATGGTTGCACTGTTGCCTTGCACAGGGAACAGCTGGCCACTGGCCACCATGGCTTTGGGGGGCAGTTTGAAGGGCAGAGAGTGACCATAGACTCTATGTCAAGACTTTGTATGTGGGAAAAACTGTAGAACAGGGTATTTCTGATGTTCTACCAGAGCATCTGCTGCTGACAGCAGGTCCAGCACACACCAGAGCATGGTGTAGCTCTAGACAGAGCACAGGAATTATAAGGATGACTGTGGAACAGACTGTCCCTCTCAAATTTTAGACTGATTTTCTAGATGTGCTTTACATTCAAGGTTGGAGGATCCCCCAAAATGAGTAAGTGACTTCTTGATGGCATTAGTGAAGGAGGAAAGAATCTGGTTTTATTCTGCTTAGAAAAGGAAAAAGAAGGTACTTTATTCTCTTCCTGTGAAGACTTTATGATTTACTGTGTTAAACAGAACTTCCTATGACCTGATGCCTCTTCTGCTCCAGCCTCTTTTCCCATTCCTCTGGAGTTGAACCCTATATCCTGTAGGGGTGTGCTTCCCAAGCTATCTATGGTGAAGAACCATGAACCATGTTTTTCTTTTTTTTAAATTTCTAATCAGCTGCCAGCTGATTTTTTTAAAAAAGACAATAACATGAATCAAATGTTGCAGTGATATCAGATAGCTGTAACAATTTTTTAAATATTTACACTCAACTTCTGTTCTTAATCTCATTGCAGAACAGTATCAATGGCTCGCTGACCCAACAGCAGATGTGCACAGCGCAGCTCTAGGCTAACCAATTATTTATGAATTATTTCATATACCATGCAGTTTTACATTTTTTTGCATTTGTACATGCTGTTTCCTGCCCCTAGAAAGACCTAAATCACTTTTTTAAAAATTACTCTGTAAGTCTCAGACCAAATACCATCTTCTCTAAAAAAATTTGCCATTAAACTTCAAAGTCTCATGTTTATCTTTCCATACCACTGTCTTATTTTTAAAAATATTTTATTTATTTATTTAGAAAGAGGGGATGGGGGAAAAAAGAGGGAAAGAAACATCCATGTGTGGTTATCTCTTGTGCCGCCCCTACTGGGGACCTTCCCTGAAACCCAAACACGTGCCCTGACTGGGAATTGAACCAGTGACCGTTTGGTTCACAGGCCAGTGCTCAATCCACTGAGCCACACCAGCCAGGGCTATCTTATTATTTCCTATATTATGTTAAAGTGATATTCCTTATGTTTATTTCTCTCCACTTCTATGAGCTCCTTGAGGATATCAACCATGTCCTGTCCTTCTTTATATGGTGCTGAGTACTTGGCAAGGAGTAAGGTCTCTGTAACTTTTTGTTAACTGAACCATGCTCTTCCATAGGTTTCCATGGAGCTTTCAAGTGAAGTCAAGAGTTTGCAGCATAGATCAGCTAAGTAAACACCTGAATTTATGTGAGTAAGATTATGCTCATGATTATTATAGCATTGACCATTTTTTTCAATGATCTACCACCAATATAGGAACAAACTGGAGTTTTTTTAATCAGAATGTCGATAATAGCATTTTACTAGTGGTTTGACAAGAGACATAGAGAGTGGACACAACTCTATCCTTCCCGCTGGACAACTATATTCTATCTCCATGGCTGCCATTTTGGTCAGGCCACTTATGGGCAAATACATATTTTTGTTCTTTTTTAAAAAGCTATTAGTTGTCAGAGGGCAAATTCTTCTGTACACCCTAAAAAGCATCAAACACTAATTGCGTGGGCACTTAATCAATGCTTCTTATGAAAACCAAATTAAATCAGAAAAAATCCCCTTAGCAATTCTAGGAAAACAAAAAACAATCCTGTGTTAAGCTGGGGCAGTTCATTTCAGCAGGCCTAAAATTGGCCTGAGCTACTTTACTGAAGTAAGAAATGTATCTGCTTTGCACTGATTCCTGGTCAAAGCATGAAGCATGCAGAATAACAGTATTACTTGTAACCGGAGTTTTGAAAAATTTCAATTATTTATTGCTTAACTTATTGTAATGAAATTGGTCATCTGCTTATGGTCTCACTGAAACCCGAAGGGCTCTGTCACTCAGCTGGTTATATACAGCAAGAAATTTCTTACATGACCAGCTGGGTATGAGACTCCAGGTGAAACAGCATTTTGGATCACCTTCTGGGAGGTGCTCTGTTCATACATCATGGTTCCTGGACCCAGAAAGAAAATACATCTTGGTACTGTCCCTACGGAGGAAGGACAATCAGACCTCTGAGCTGGCTTCTCCAGATTTCATGACCTGAGCCAGTCTTTGCCTGTGATGTACATCTTAACTTTAGTGGAGCTGTTGTAACATAACCTTTCCTGCAATAAACTATAAATTTGTAAGCAATGTCACTTTGAGTCCTGCAAGTTGTCAATAGCAATAGAATCCCAACTGCCACTGTCAGTGTGCGTATAGCGACCCAAACTGCAAACTGCAATTAGAAGGGAACATTACCAACAGGCCGAAGAGTGGACTGTGTCATTCCTGAGGCAGGCAGGGCAACAGGAAGAATTGTTTGCAGCCACCCAGCCATTTATAACACTGGCAAATCATTTCAGTGTTTGTTTTTAGACAAACAGAGGATGATGGGTTCACTAACACAGACCATTAACTTTTCATCTTATAAAAGTCTTTAAAAATACTCTAAGCTGTAGCAGGCTAATAGAACAGATATTAACAAGTAGCTGAGTGAATGAAATTAGGAATCTTACATATTTACTGCCCAGGTGTGGGGAGGATTCATCAAGCTGTCAGTTCTTGGTTTTTCCTTGTGCAGAGTGCTCACCTAAAAACAGGAGATAGGTTTTGATCTGTAAGCTCAGAGAGTGAATAAGGATGAAAATAAAGTTTCTGGGCTTCTTTGTTTTTCAAGAAAAGTCCAGTTTCCCTGCAAGACTGACATTAAAGCCACAATTTGCCTTTTGGTAAGGTCTGGAAATTGTTCACAAAGATTTATGAGCTTTTTTTGGCCATCGTCTGTTTTCACCCTAGAGAAGCAAAGCTAACTAACTCCCTGGGAGTAGGATGGGGTGTGAGTGGGAGGTGATAGCAAGAGAGGAACCCTATGGAATGAGTTATTGATTTTTGCTTGTTCCATTAGCTGGCCCTGCCTAGTAAAACTATGTCATATATTTAAAGTGCCATTTTATCGGGAAGACATTCTAGGATCCTCTGTTTAATTCAGTGAGAGCTTTGTGAAAATGAATTTATAGGTCAGCATGAACACTTTGGTGACATACAGAATGACACAGGGGACGTTACGCAAAATAGCAGTGTTATTCCATTGCCCAGTATAAAGATAAATATTAACCTAGGAAGTTTAGAGACATGGCCCTGGATTTGCAGTCAACACACTTCACATTACCTGTGTCTTTCAGGTAGATTCAAATTTCAACACCAGTCACACTATATAGAAGCAACATGGACAAAAGTCTCCAACTCTGAGAATAAATGTCATCATTTTGCTCTAGGTTTTACCTGCCATTTAAGAAACCTGTCTTTTGGGGATGTCATTGATGTCACCTGTTCCCTGCATGGTCAATAAATAGTGCCAGAAACCTATGAGGAGAACAGACCAGATTTGTTCTTGGAATTTTCCTTGGTCCCATGCTCTGAGAAATGCCACACCAGAGTAATGGCCCTCATGGCTCCAAATCCAGAGCAACTCTTAGCTCACTAAAGGTGTGGCACCTCCTGGAATCTATGGATATGAAGTACAGGGATGACAAGTAAACAAAATAAACATTCTTGAACACCTACTGTCTTCCAGAAGTCATGCAAAACAAATTATATGAACATCATTACAACTCTTAATCTCTCCCTTCAAGGCCTCTCTAACTGGGAATAAAGAATGTGAAAAAGATTCAAAAGCAATCTGATTCCAAAACAGTTATAATAATGATATTAATGGTAAAAGCAAACAAAATGCATGTACCTAGAAAAAGCAAATGGAAGAAAATATACCAAACGTCAATAGTGATTTTGATACGGTTATATTTCATGAAAGTTTTTAATTCTTTTCTACTTTGTATTTTTCTATCTCCCATTATATATAATGTGGTCAAATGTTAAAATGGCAGTTTAAAACATAAAGAGATATTTACATGGTAATATATGTTGATTTTCCCAAGTAACAGTAAGTTAATACGTTAAGAGGCGAGAAAGCCCATGTGCAGCTTGGGCGCGAAGGGTGGTCTAGTCAAAATGCATGGGGAGAAGGAGCCAAATGTTGAAAGACTGAGAAGGCGGGCGCTGAATCGCTCTATATGGCATTATAAATCTATTAATCTTTTTGTTGATTTTTACACTTTTGCTCATTTCTTGCTGTTAATGAGCTTTTATTTGTAAAAATAAATAAGCAAATACAGATGTGCCTGCTAATAATACGCTAATAATGGGCAATTACCATACTTTAGGAGGAGGAGGTGGAGAGACCAAGACACCACCTCCTCCTTCAAAAGACCTTGAGCGCGTGGAGAGAGACAGGGACGGGAGATGAATGACGTTGGGGAACGTGCCCTGTGAAGTGGTTCAAAGCTGAGCAACGGAGCGTGGTTCTCCATGGCAGGCCTGGCAGGCTCAAGTGTTTGAACTCAATCTTAGCTAATATACACTTACCAGAGTTTTCTAAGCAGAACAATACTATAGTGAATTCAGATCTGCTTTTTATTCTTCCAAGTGTTTGAAAATCAAGTAATGCTTCAAAACTAAATTAAAAAATACCATGTTTTCTTTCTTCTGTGAAGTCATGCAGTCTTTAAGAAGTTTTCTTCGTAATTCTCATTGCTTTTAATATTACAGATGAGATATGGTATATTAACTTTCTCAGATGTGATATCAGTGGAAAACATATTTAACATGCATCCCATCACATATATATTTTGCAGTCTGTCACGGGATGTTTAACTTGTCCAGATTCCTTACTGTAGCTGTGTAGTATCTCATATTTGGTGTTAATTTTTTTTTCTTCTAAAAGCACATTCTTGTTATACTCTAGTAGGCTTTCTCTTTTACTTAAAAAAAAAAGAAAACCCTCCTAATTTAAATAATCAACTTTTGAACATTTATGGGCTCATATTTTCAGCAGAAGAACCCTCCTTGAGAGAGAACATACTTAAAAGAAGCAGGGAGTTTGGAAATGTGAACACCATGGCCTGATGAGAGGAGGCTTGAGGGCAAGGAACTGTCTCATCAGCAATAACCCTGGTTACTGAGGCTTGAAAAACCCAGACAATTTAGCACCCCTGGCATTTCCCTTGAAGGTCGGTGGCTGCAGGGCTCTGTTTCCTTGGAAACATGATTTAGTGACCTCCAAAATAACACAACTTATTTTCAGATATAAGATTAGAGTTTGTAAATTGAAGCACTGACCAATCCAGTGAACTCTTATGGTCATAGAAGCTCAAGTTTCTTTTTGTTACCACTTAGGCACGTTAATTCCCACCATATTTCTTAGAAGCAAATAAAAGTGTATCAGTTATCCATTCCGAGTGACAGATTCTATCAAATTATTTTCTGTATTTTTAAAATTTATAAAAAAACTATACAAGAGTTAGGGGGAAATTGGGCTATATCTGTGAACTTAGATAAAACCTAATCATTTCTGATTTTATTTTAGTTATATTTTTAGGAAAGATGTCACTATTGGGCAAAAGATATTAAGTAAAAGTAATTATATATAACTTCTATTGAGTATAGTGTATAATGTAAGTTTATAAAGAAAGCATACTTGAATAAGTTTGAAAGGCAATAGAAAGAGATTTGTGAGTGTTCAGGAACCAGATTTCAATAAAAACTGTGGTAGCACAAAGAGCATTTGGAGATCATTATGTTTCAGATTATTAATTCTAAGTTGTTGAAACTTAGACTATGAATCACCAATTTAGCCTTGTCCTCTGACCGAATATTTTCCATGGTAATCAGTTGGGTTGACCATTAAGAGGTTATTTTATTAAATGAGGTGTGAGTTCTAAGTTGAGATTGGCAGAAATAAAAGTACCAGAGAACAGATATTATTATTTCCATGACAATATTGCCTCCTTATTAAGAAAGGAAAGCTTGGAGAGTTAAGGGTCTTGACTCTCCTACCACAGTCCATTCCACTTATTACTGCCGTTACTTTGAGCGTGGGAGATAGCAGCTTATGCAGAATTTTCCTTGAGCCTTAGAGAAGAGTCAGATATTAAATTTGTCATCAAATAATAGAAGGTTCTTTGGAGTTTTCTCTTCCAGAAGCCTCAATTCAGGTGTCATTTGTCTTTTCCCTGGTAGAAAAGGGTGGTGGAATAGATGGTCCTGATCCCAAGCCCCCTCCTCACGAGGAGAGCCAGAGGCTCCTACCCAGAGGCTTCATCCAAATGCAGATTAGCACACCAACCCACAGCTCGAAGAGCTCGGAGGCTGCAGTGTTAGGTTACCTTCTCAGTTGAGTAAGGGAAAGCGCATGAAATTATTATGATGCTTGCTTGCAAGTCACAGGCAGGTTCTGAGACCTCTTCTTGACAAAAGGTATAGTCACACTTAGGTTTCTTCTTGAACTTACTTGGGACTAGTTAACATTTAGGCTGCTTTTCCCTGATCTGGTAGAATAGGCTTGGCTACTTAGTGGAGCCAGTGGAGAACATGTGAGTCATTTCTAATTATCCTATGAATGAATTTAACTCCTCTGCCCATTCAGATAGTTACCTCTGAGAGAACAGCATAGGAATAAAGGAATCGTGTACATTAAAGAGTAGAAGAGATCAATGAATTGAAGACGGTCTCTGTTAAGAGACAGTGGTTCATGTAGGGGGTTTGGGCATGTCCACAGATTTTGGGTGCTGACACCCTTCACTTCATCTATTGTCTTTTTATTTCGATGTTATTACAGTTGTTCCCCATTTTGCTCCCCTTTGCCCATCTTGTAGTTTGTTCTAGTTAGAATTTCCTACCTGAAATTTAATTCAGGCTCTCATATCTTGCTCTTAAAGTGAGGCAATATAACTTTTTGTTTTACAAAAAAATTTTGCTACATATTTATAATGTTATTTATCATTCTTTAACATACACTTCACATAACATCTGTATTCTCAGACTATTTTGCATAGATAAAATTAGTGGAACTCAATATTGTAAATGTGTTAATGTAACTTCGTATTTAAATTAGAGTCACATGTACTTTTTGTAAAGTTAATAATTTTTATTTATCTATTTTGTAATATCAATGTTTTAAATGTGTTCTACTCAAGAAAATAATCTGTGTTTTTTTAATTTTAAAAGATATGTAGCATCTCATTTATTATTGCTCTTGATACAGTATAACTCATAGAAATCACATCTATTTTTTTTAAAAAAAACCTTTACATTTCAAGTCAAGAAAAATTAAAACCTAAGAAAATGGAAGAAGAAATGTAAATTTTATCAACAGGAAATTGTGTTCTTTCCTCATGAGGAAACTCAATTAAAATCATATGAAATTATACAAAACATGATTTACATTTCAGTTTATAAATCTGGTTTCCTGTGGACTACATGCAGCCATACCAAAAATGAAACAAAATAACAGTGATAATAAAAACCTTGTAGCACATGTAGTGTTCTTTTTACCACTACTGCAGAATGGAAAATGCTTCCAGTTACCACCTTTTCTTTAGAACACATCTACACATTATAAAAAGCAATTTCTAAAAGATAATGCAATAATTTTACTAAAAATTACATTTTGGGGGCTTATCATTCCTTTAAAGGAAAATTTGGTATTTAGTGGGAGTTACTAATTGATTATTTATAAAGAAGTTCTATTTTTCAGTTATGTTTTAACATGAGCAAAATCCAAATTAGATTTTGAAATAAGCATTTTTCATCTAATCAACAGTTTGGGAGCTTACCAGACTCATGAGAAATTGTCTTAACTGTGAGAAGCTTCACACTCTCCTTATCAGACTGAGGTCTATTTGGAACAGAAAACATTAAATTAGCACCATGTAATTAGCATTGCATGTCTGTGATAGAAAGTAAACATGATAGACACAGAATGAAGAAGATACACAAGCATATATAGTTTATGTGTTTCTATGGCAAAAACTGTGTTTCTTCACATACAGATATACACATACTTTTATAGTATTTTCCAGTTTTGGAATCAACCCAATAAATTGCCATCATTCTGATACAGCAATGATCATCTGATAAATTAAACATCAAGATGGATCATGTGAAACACTTGTCACAAGGTCTATATGGTACATGTTCCCGGTCCTGAATTGTGAAAGGGAAGATATATATATGTTTCCGAACATTGGGGGCTGCTGCTGAATTCTAGGGGTGTCCCTTTTCACGAGGCACTGGGTTCTGCTGTATAGTGTCTCAACTATTTTAACCAAGAGGTCCCACCTGTCCTTTCTCAGATTCTAAACAGTTTGAAACCCCTGCTCCTTTCTCTAAAGCCTTAATTTCTAATTAAGAAGGGTAGGTGATCTACGGGTTTTATTTGGAAGGTTCATAGCCTCATGAACATACAAAAACGTCTATATAAAGACAGGGTACAAATTCAAGTCAACAAAGGAAACCACAGAATTGGTTTTTGACAGTTTGTCTCTTTGTAGCACCTTGATTGCCCCAGCTGGTTGGAATGGTAACAACTGTTTTGTTTTTAAAAAGTCAATGCAGAACACACTTTGCCTTTAATAAAGCCACTCAGAACTGTCTCAAGGGGCAGCCATGATTTTTCCCTAATTGTGAGAAACACACTGAAAAATTCACTGGGAAAATTATTTCAAAACTCTAGGTGTGTTTTCTATGATATTTATCCTTGTAGTTATATTCATTCTTCTGTTTTTATGTTTTTTGATTTTCCATTTTAATACTTTATTCAAGTTTAAGAACAACCCTCTTTTAGTTGTTGGAATTTCCCTGCTGAAAAGAGAGAGCTCTGACAGTCAAACTCCATTTACAATACTTCTTACACAAATTCTTAAAAAAAACAAAGTGTAAATAGAAGTTCAGTACTTTTTTCCTTATGTAAATGATACCATCAGAGCTTCCAGGGAAGAAAAAAAGAATGAGGTAGCCTTACTTACTGGTCGTTTCCATTTTCTGGTGTGCCTAATGAGAAGAGAGAATTGTTATTAGAGTTCGAAGAAGCGTGGCTACAAAAAACAAAAACAAAAACAAACCTTAGACCCTGCCATTTTCTATGCAGAGACATTTCTAAAGCCAGTGATTACCTTTTTTATTCACTCCCTGCCTCATTGATCAGTTTCTCAGATACTCATACGATTACCACTCATTCCTCAGGAGTGAGGCTAGTACATTCATGGTATAGTCCTAACTAGGCCAATTCCACTGAACTTAGTTCTGTACTAATAATGTTCATCCTGTAGTTTCATATCACTATGTGAAACTACAATTTTTTATCACACATTCCACAAACACCAGCAAATGTCTCTGTTTATTTCAGTACCTCTGGAAAAAATTCTCCTCAAAGTGCCTAATTATCTTTTTATACCACAGAATTGAATTTCTGACATTTCTTTATATATTGTTCTTTCTGGGGACACAAATCACTGCACTTGTGATGAACTATGATGTCAATATTGCTTCTAATTGCATCTGAATCATACTAATTCAGCCTCTCAAAAGTGCCCTGCAAAATGTCACGGAGGCAACTAAAGGCAACTGATCTTTTGCACACTTTGCCAGGCTGCTCTGGGAGAAACAAACCTGGTCAGAATGAGAACTCAGGTGATTCCTTCTGCACAAGAGCACGGCCTCCAGAAGCCAATGGTGGTAAAACTTTGCATTAACTGTGGCCTATTAGGCAAAATATATAATCACTTAAGGTCTCCTTGGTTCTGTTCCCGATTTTGTTGTAGTTTTATTCAGTTGCTCCTCAGTTCTTGTCTCTTGGATTTCTTTCCATCTTTAGTCTAGCTCTTGACATTGGATATATAAAGCCCTTTAAATACAATTCTCCTGCCCTGGAGCATCGTTTTATGAAGACCTCGATTGCCACTACTATTTTTGCTATGTCTACTTCCCCTTCATTAAGATACACCACAATGACCCTTAATCCCTGTGGTTTAATTCATGTTACCACGTGCTGTCCCACAAGTAGATCGAACCTTGTCTTCCCTACCATCAGTAGGGTTTTAAGAGTCTTGAAATTCCTATTATAAGTGCTCTATATGATATCACCTGTGACTCTAATAGCCCTGTTCCAACATGAATCGACACTTTTTGTGTGTCTGTTTTAATATTTTTCCTAGAAATACTGTAATATGAGTTTATTACCAGACAGATGCTTACCAACAGACTATATGCTGTTCTTATTTGGGCTAAAGCTCAGACTACAGTCAACATTATCCAGATAACCTCAATTTCGTACTGAATCTGATTCGTGTTGTCTTCCAGTGAGCAGAATAGGTTTACTAATTTTCTGAACTTAATGAAGTCTCACTGACACATTGAAGATTGATTACTGTGGTTGTTTAATAGTGCTAATTTAATAGTAACAATGCTACAAGTTCTGTATGACAAACAAAGTTAATGATAACCAAATAGATTTGGCTAATTGTACAACTACCAAATTTGGTTATAAAGTATAGTATGTCTTCAGAATAACTCTCCCTAGTGGTAGAAATTTTATTTTATTTTATTTTTCACAGTGATAAGAATTTTATACATTTTTTCCCTGAATGATGTAATTCATCCATAGAATCCTCTTTAATAGCAAATGTGAACTTTTCAGGTAACTTATTTGTAAACCTTCCTATGCAAAGCGATTTTCAGTAAAGAGTATTTTTACAAGTGGGTTTAGCACACTGTTTTTACCTCTCCTATGCACTCCACAGACTTCATCTTGGATAGTTGATTTCCCATAAAAGATGGTATTGGTGGTTTAGAAACTTAGGGAAATTGAATTGATTTATTAAACGGATATTTCCCTCCTGGAAACTCAGTAAGAAAACATATTTTAGATATTATTAAGAAGTTTATTCACTAACTCCCTAAGGGAGAGTCATTGATTCATCTTCTTATTATTTTCCACCAAGGGCTAAAATGAAAGCTCCCATTTTTTTCTTTCATTCTTTCTGTCCTCATAACTTCCCCTGCATTGTCATGCTCTTGCACCAAGCCCTCCAGGCCATGCATGGTTAAGGACGGCCTCAGGAGCAGCATTCATTAGTATCCTGGGGGCATACTGTCCATGGGGTAAACAAAGAATAGTGTAGCTTATATATCTTATAAAAACAGACTTTTACTTTTTAATAGTATTTGAGACTTAGGTAGAGTTCTGTTAATGAAATATTTACATTTAAAGTGAGGAAAGACAAGGTTCTATTTTACTGGTAACTTAAAAATTCAACTCAACAAGAATATAGTAGGTTCTGTTATATATTATAAACAATGCAATGTGAACACTATGTGGTATGTGACTGGAAAGGCTGCCTGATGTTATGGACCAAATGTTTGTGTTCCCAGAAAATGCCTGTGTTAAATCTCAGTGCCCTATATAATGGTATCAGGATGTTGGGACTTTAGAACTCGATTAGGTCATGAGAACTGAGTCCTCACGGGATGAGTGCCTTTATAAAAAAAAGACTGCAGAGAATTCTCTTGTTCCTTCCTCTCTGGGAAGATACTGTGAAAAGGTGGCCAGCTATAAACCAGGAAGAATACCCTCATCAGATACCCATCTGGCATCTGGCTTGGATCTCTCAGCCTCCAAAACTGTAAGAAGCAAAAGTTTGTTTTTTATGCCACCCAGCCTATGCTATTTTGGTTGTAGTACCCAGAACAGACTAAGGGGGAACAGGCACATAGAAAAGCAACTCTACTATGGCATGAGGAATATCATAAAATTCTACAGCATTTAAAGTGAGAGCAGTCTATTCTCCATAAAGAGATGGCGTGTTATAAAAAGATGTATTAAATTGGTGTTTGAGCTCGGTGCTAATGGACAAATTGGAGGTTGGGCATGTGACAAAAGTTAAGTGGTGGGCTGGACATTCTAAAAGGAATGGCATGGACAAAGCATGGCTACAGGACACCACAGCACACAAGCAGGGCAGGGGTCCGGAGTGGAATGATTGGTTGATGCTTAAGATAACAGAGGGGATTGTGAGCCATGGAAACTGAAGGGGGATTCAGGTGAAACATTAAATAAAAAGTTCCACTTCCTGGAACAGAAAAAAGACAATAAAAACTGGGAGAAATCTGATGAAGTAGGGACCTTAGTAATAATGTATCAACCAATATTAGTTAATTAATTGTGATAAATATGTCATATTATTAATAAGAATAACAGCTATAGGGTATATGGGAATTCTTTGTAACTATTTTTGCAGTTTTTCAGTTAATCTAAATCTCGATTAAAATAAAACATTTGTTTAAAAAAAATGTAATGCCAATATAGGAACAAAAAGTATTTAAGAGGCAGGGAGAAGATGAAAACAAAAAGAAGAAAACAAAGAATGAGGATGCTTAAAAGAGAGCAGTGTCATTTAAAAGAAAAGGAGAAAGACATCTAAATGCTCTTAGAGATGTTAAGAAAGATAATAAAGAATTTCAAACTAGAATTCCACTAATATTTGCAATAACGTTCAATCCCAAGGAACCAATTCAAGGAGCAGAACACACTGTCATGGAAGACAACACTTTCATTGGATGGAAACTGTGCCTCCCAGGGTGGGAAATAGGTCACAGAACGTTCCTCCCAAGATTCTGGGCCCCTGAACTAGATTCCTAACAAGACTTCTCTTTGCCCTCTGTTCCATGGAAAACAAAAACAAAAACAAATCTTCACTACAGAAAAGCATGTATTTTATGCCTTCTTTACTACCACCCACAAAACTGGGGCTATTTCACTGAAAAGTATTTGTCCCCATTTGATAATATCTGCCACTGGTAGTTATCCCTACTCCTTTCATTCACCAACATTTCATGGATTTCTCTGTCCCTTCCCCTCTATTTCTGTGATCAAGCAATATGGCATTTTATTTTTTCTCTAATTCCTCTCTCCTTCAGAGTTTAAATTAAAGTTTAGATATAGCATGTGTATTCTCCTTTGGGGAAAACAAAATGAAACAAAACAATGTTACCCACCTGGGTCTGTCTTCCTGCACATTCGATACAAACCCACCAGAACAAATACTGAAAGTGTTAGTACAATCAAAGCAATAACCACCGGCAAAATAATACCTAAAAAGTATTGGAGACATTGTCAGTTAGAGCAGAATTGAATTTCATAATAAATAGTTTATGAACTGAGCAAAAGCATGCATGCTTTCTTCTTTATACATCATTCTATTTAAAATACTGTATTTTAAGCAAAGAAGATTTATCTGATTCATGAGTTTTGCCTTAGTTGTCATTTCTGACATATCCACTTGATGTCAGTCTTGTAGCCTTTCTGAAATAAAATTTCAAACCTTAAGGAGGTAGTTCCCCACTTTCCTGGAGACTGGAGGAGTGAGGAGACAGGAAACAAGAGGCAGAACATGTTCTCTAGACCTAGAGTCAGCTTTACGTTCACACATTATATTTTTTACTACTTTATATTATTACTTTATGATGATGTTATTGGGAAAAAAACCACATATAGCCTATGTTGGAACTACTCTAGTTATAAAGGTGACTTTCTAAAAAACTCACAAATATATTTCCATAATAATATCTTAAAACTAGAAAAGACATAAGTGAATATAATTGTATATCACAGTGTATATTATTTCTAAAACAACATGGTTCAAGAAAGATGTGTAGATATCTATATCTATAGCTATAGAGATATATATATAGCTATATATATATATATATATATATATATATATATATATAGGCGATTTTGGTGTTTCCTCCTTTTATTAAGAGGAGGGTTTTACTTTTTAAAAAAGCATCCGCCTTTTTTTCTGACAGTCATTTCTCAGATTAAAACAACAGTGATAAAAGGAAAACACTGCCCTAGTGATATAACTAGAGACATAGACATTACCGTTGCCATTTAGTTAGATATTCTTATCTGCTTCCTTATGTATTTCTCATGTTTATTAGGGAATGAGAATAGTTATCCAATTAATTTGTAGGGTGGATTACACTTCCACTGTTATGATTAAATATTTGTTTCAAGTACAATCTTTTGGGTTCATATTAGACCTTGAGTGATGCCTCCCCAAATGAAGGTAGGAGTCAGCAGATCAGTAAACGTGATGCTATTATATTGAATGGAATGGCTTTACCTAAACCTCAAATAATCTTTTAATATCCCAGCTTCATATGTATTCATCTTAATTTCCAGGGAAATTAATGAATATTCTCTATTTAGTGCCAGCATACACATATACAGGGTGGGGTAAAAGTAGGTTTACAGTTGTGAGCACGTGAAACATAGTTTATTCTTGTATTATTATTTATCAACTATTATATTATTGTCCATATGAACAACTTATAAACCTACTTTGCCCCACCTTGTATGTTATATGATATATATGTTTTTGCTAAAATGGAACATTTATAAAAAGGCTATTTTTAAAATTAAGGCAAAGTTTTATAAAGGTGAACAATTTATTTTTTTATGGAGATCTCTGCATACTTTGGCTTATCTGAGACTAGTCTTTTAATTCACCTTGAAATTTGGTAGTAATTGCTTAGCACTAAAGTAAGAAAATAATCTCAAAGGTGTCCTCATTAAAATAAGACTCACAAGTAGGAAATTCTTAAAGCAAGTGGCAGTTAGATAGGATTATAATGGGGTTGCAGGTTCAGTAAAGCTGATAAAAGTCTATAATCAAATCCCTCCAAATTCAAATATTCCACACATCTACTGTTATGAATGTTACTCACTGGAATGGGAGGGGTTGGTTGAAGAAGAACTTTCCTTTTTTTCATTCTCAGTGCCTATTATTTTAAGAAAGAAAAAATAAGTTACTTTCAGGTATGTGTTCCAATCCTCACAATCCTCCCTTCATTCCCCCATGACCCCTAATTGAAGTAAGCCTCTGTGATCTATAGGTAGGATGTTCCAAATAAGTACATTTGATCTCATTCTGAAAGAACTCTGTTTTGCAAATAAAGACTGGCAGAGAGTTAATGCATACAATTGGATGAGTTGGGGTATGCATCCATGAAACCACCACTGCAGGAAGGTAATAGACATATCCATCACCTCCAACAGTTTCCTTGTGTCCCCCCTTTTGTGGATGTGCATTTTTGAATACCAATTATAAATTAATAAAGCTGGGTTTTAAAAGAATGGTAGAGTTTTCTTGGTGAGAAGGAGTTAAGCAAAGTGAGTTCCTAGTCGTGCACACAGGAGTCATACCTTGAGATGGTGAGATGTTTTCTGGAATTGTTGTTGATATTGAGGACAATAAACTAGTATTAGAAGTGGAGGCATTTGGTTGTATACTGCTAACTGTTGAAAAAAAATGAGAAATCCAGAGTCAGATTATCCTATCAACTCTTCTTACTGCATTTCTTTGCAGATTCAGTGTCTCTGAAGATTAGTGAAAACTGTTTCTTGCTGCACAGTAGGACGTATACAACTATACATTAAATCCTAAGTTCATCAATTCCTTCTATAATGATGATTCAATCTGGAATCGCAATACCTCGGTATCAGTATTACATTCTCAAGAACTGCCAAGAAAACGTGCGTACATCTCTTATCTTAGGCTACAATCTGTTTCACCTACTGCACAAGATTCTTCTGGGTTGAAAATCTATGCAAAAGTATTCACATTTCAGTTATTATAACTTTGGGTGATAGTGATATTTTTCCATCACCCATCCTTAAAATGAACATAAACACACAGGATTTCATTTCTTTTCATTTTTGTAGTGTTTCTTAGTGGTTGAAGAGAAAAATTGCAGTTGAGGCTCTGGTTAAAAGGACTGGAGAAAAAAATAAAAAAATTCCTTCATTTTCATCTTTAAAGCTCAGCAGGCACAGAAGAAAATTTATATATCTTATCTAGAGAACCTGCTGCTTGGTTTCTACCACTGACCATTATCTTTTCTTCCAAGGAAAATGCGAATTTAACTTATTATAATTATTTTTGTTTGCATAAATCAACATTTGCCATCTTCAGTCAGAAGGACTGAAACACAAAATAAATAAAAGTAGGTTATTCAAAATCCAGAAGTCTCAAAAAATTTCAAAGAAATATAAATAATCAAATGTTTTGTCAGTGTACAGTATCTATTCTTTGTAACTTTGGGATAAAATGAAATCTGCATTTAGAAAATTTTTGAAAAATCATTCTCTTTTTCTTTTAATATGAAGTGATATTTTTTCTATCACAGCTATTTGCCTTGGCTCTCCACTGAACTGCATGTTCACGGAACGCGAAGGACACAGCTCCCGCCATGCCCCGCGTGGAGCTCTGACCACACCGGCTGTGCAGGAAAATACAGCTGGCAGCCGGGAGGAACTGAAGAGGCATCTCTTACAGATATGTCCCCTTGAGAAGTACTGAGGCCATGTATAATTGCCTCAAAAAAACTGATATTGCCTATGGACTGCCTTGGATCTTTCCTTCTGTGCCACCCACACACCGGCATGTATTGCATGCTCATGCATTTTTGACATCTGTGGGGGAAGAATAATGTTTAGAGTCTGTACTGTTCTTGCATGCAAGAGATATGTGGGAGGAAGCTAGATATATGCCCATAAGAACAAAGAAAAATGTCAGGCTAGTGCACTAGGCAGGCCAAAAAAGGAATATTAAATGAAAGAGTAGGATCTAGCTGAAACCTTGGTACTTTTAGTTGCTTTTTTCAGTGTCAAGTGTTTGAATAAGGGCGGATGTTCTTTCAGTTGTCTTGGTAGAGAATGAGATGGCTGATTAAATAACCATTTTGGAGAAAATTAGACACATGGACTTTGGTTGAAAGGTACAACTCTCTAGGGACCTAATCATGCTATAATAATATGATATTATATGAATAAAATGTAAGTTAAAATAGCACATAATTTTATAACATTATATATAATATAATGTTAGTATCAAGTACTTTTTATCAAGTACTAATGGCATTAATCCATCCAGAATTTCCCAAGGGTTAATTTTCAAGACTCCCACATTATTACCTTCTCATAGACAGGTTAAATGGCAATTATAGTTCTGAGTATAATCTATCTAGTTGAGATGAAACTCTAATTTTCTATTTTAAAATTTTCAACTATTATTGATAATGATCTATTGGTAGGCAATAGAATGAACTTTTCTTAGAAGGAGAATTCCTTAGACCCCTGAACAAAAACTTTTTAAAAAATTTGTTTTTCTTTTAACCTCAACCTTCAGTTAATAAATCATTTCTGAATCCAGTACCTACACACAAACACACATATATATATACACACACACACAATTTACCTCTATTATATGTAATGCCTTCTGATGTTTTCTATTCTCTTTTATTTGATTTTTTAAATACTCCTCATGCCACAGTAATGAGAGTAAACAAACAATTCGAGAAATTCCCTCCAATAACGTGATCATATTAATGAAATTATGGGTCTTGGCTGGACTCATCAATTGTGAGCCTAATGTGATACATTCTCAGACTAAGTTAGTGGGACCACAATGTGTTCAGAGCTAATGATCTCTGCAAGTTTTGTTGATACTCTGTTTTCCTAGGTTACTACTAAAATATTATTGACAGAGGAGGCACAAGGGAGGTACAAGAGAGATACAATAGATAGATAAGAGCAGAATTCTAAAGACTGAGTACCTGGTTAAAAATCTGACTCTTGTACTTATTTGCTGTGGAATCTTGGACAAGTCACTTAACCTCTTTGTATCTGAGTTTTCACATCTACAAATTGTGATTATAGTAATTCTACATCACTGTGTTGTGAAAAATAAGTAAAAATAATTTAAATTGCTTAGAAAAGTACTTGATACTAACATTATATGTAATGTTATAAAATTATGTGCTATTTTAACTTATATTTTATTCATATAATATCATATTATTATAGCATGGTTAGGCCCCTAGAGAGTTGTACCTTTCAACCAAAGTCCATGTGTCTAATTTTCTCCAAAATTTAAAGTGTAAAAATACATGAAATAGACTCTTAAGAAACCTCCATGTTTCCAGATGCTTCCTTGCTCTAGTTAGAGACAAGAGAAAAGAGAGTGGATGGTACCCTTAGATGACTTGGGTTTGCTCTTGAACTTTGACTTTTGGTGATTGGAATGATTATTCAGTTGCAGATATTTTGTGTCATGATTTAAATCCAATTTGCAAACTTCAGGCCAGGACTTGCAGCTGGCTATTTGAGGCAGAGACTTTCAGAGCGAAGTTTATTATAATAAAAAGAACTTCAGAACCAAGACTGTTATAATATTATGCAAATTTATACAATTGGTGTCTGACAGTGGTACATATTTGACCCTTGCTGTAAATCAGTTACTAGATAAATCAGTGGGAGTTTTAAAGACAGAAGACTGTCTTTGTTGATAACCCAGGGCACCTGTGTTGGTTAGGAAGATGCATCTCACAGAATGGACACTATAGACAGTATAATTGACCAAGGTTCTCCACCTCCTCTGTAAATTCCATCCCTGTGTTTGGGATGAAGCCAAGGCTCCCAACCAATAATTGAGCCTAGCAAGAATGTGAAAGCAGGCTGTTCCTGGAAGCCAGGGACTCTTCTGAGGAGAGATTCAGACTGGAAGAGTCCCTGATGGTCTTCTGGAACCTTCTTTAGAGGAAGTCACATAATACATATAACTAATGGCAGATAAGAGTGAGATACAGTAGAAGAAAAAGCATTCTAATGTAAAAAAAAGTAAAACTGTATTCTATTTTTATTTCCCTTATGTGTTCTACACTTTTTATTGATAGGTGTAGGTTCAATGTGTCTGAGGGGCTAAATTCAATAGAATTGAATGATCATTAATTGTTTTGAATTATTTATAAATAATTAGAACTGGTCTCTAATTGCAATTTGATGGATTTCTGTTCCATTTTTAAAGAGAGCATCTCAGAATTTAAAACTAAATCATTCACTTCTCAACACATTTTCTTTATGTGGCTTCCAGTAAAGCATATTATATTTCTTTTTCTCCTACCTTACAGCTTATTCTTCTTTGTCTCTTTGGCTGGTTCATCCTTTTTGCTATGACTTACAGTTTTGGAGGTCCCAGGACTTAGTCTTTACTCCTCATCTCTAACTTCACTATTTTCTTCATTGATCAAATTCAATTTCAAAGTTTAAATACAACATGAATGCCAATGATCCCCAAATTTATATTTTCAGCCCAGGCCTGTTTCCTAAACTCTGACGTCATAAGTCCAGATGCTTACTCAGAAAATAATAAAAACCTAAACTGAACATGTCAAACTTGGACTTCTTTATCTGCAGCCACCTCATCTTAGCTGATGGCCATCATTCTTTTCAACTGCTCAGACCAAAGACCTCAGAATTCCTTGGACTCATCTCTTTCATTCTATCCCACACACAAGCATCAAGAATATCTCCTGAATGTACCTTCAAAATTTATCCAGAATTTGGATATTTCATGCCATTTACCTTATGTCACCTCAGTCCAAGCTACCATCATCTGCCTCTTGGAAAATTTGTAAAAGGTATCCTTGCTTCACCAGACAGTCCCTCCTCATATTTCACAGTTATACTTATGAAACATGAGTCAGACCATGTCACCCTTCTGTTCAAAACATCCAGTATTTTTCCATTCCATTTTTATAGAGAGACTCAGCCTTTGCAATAGCCCATGAAACCCTGGGTAATGTGCCCAGTCAATCCCCTGCCTGCCCCCTGCCCATGTACTTGGTACAGTTTCTTAACATACCAGGCATCTCGTCATGTTCTATCGCTACTTGGATGCTCTTCCCCCACCTATTGGGTTGCTTACTTCTTGTATTTACTCAGATTTTTTCAGGGAGGCTTACCTGACCACTTTTATAAATATGCAAACTGCACCACTCCAGAACTCATCATCTCTTCTTCCTAAACGGCTCTACATTTTTTCTTGCTCATAGCACTTATCACCTTCTACCTTATTATAGTTTAGTTAATTAATATATTTATTGATTATGGTTTTTATGCCCTAGCAAAATAAAAAATTCTTGAGGGCAAGGGTCTTTATTTTGCTCATTGATGTTTTCAAATGCTAGAACAGCGTCCAGAAGTAGGATCCACAAGTCTTTGCTAAATGCATAAAACTTTTGGCAGCTAAAGGGACTGCTGTTGAAGACTAACTGTATTAATGAGAATGCCTTTTTAATCTTAACATAGGTTTGTTACATATTTAAAATTACTGCATTATTAGTTTTTTCTTCATTCTGCAATAACAGAAAAAAAATAGATACGTACTCTGGGCCCAAGAGTACCCAAGAGTAGATGTTGAAGGAAATATAACAGAGTACAAGAGAGGTAGGCCT